GTACACTAGTTCAGCCTCCCCACAGAAAGCAGACCTCAGATATCCGATTCGTTCAGATATCCAGGGTGCGTTCCGATATCTATTGCCAGTGCTGAAACTATACAGTATGTGTTACGTACGATACAGATTTTCAGTACTGGCAGTGAATTTCGAAACGCACCCCCAGTAGGATAATTATCCGGCCGAATAGCGGATATTTTCCGGATAAACCGGCCGGAGAGTTGCGATATTTCTAGAAAAAAAAAGAGGAACAGGAGAGAGAAAGCTAATAATGACACAAACTTAGTATAACATTTCAGCAAGATATATTGCTAATGATATCCGGCTATCCGACCGGATAATAAAAAAGAGCCGAATGAGGCTGGATACTGGATATTTTCGAATATTCGGTACATCCCTACTTGATTATATAAAGAATTGATCAATATTCCCTTTATATACGACTGTAATTTTAAATAATTTTTATAATTACATTTAGAATCATCCTTATGTAATTGTAGAATTGGGTTTTAGAGAAGTCCTTCCTCCTCTTCAGTCCTCTGTACGGATTTCTCATCTACTGCAATTATGGAGAAGTTACCGGGAAAACATACCGGCACGAATATATTTGTATACAATGGATATGTGTATCATATGGATAAGCGATGCAAAGAAACTTATCGGTGTTCATCGCGGCGAAGTTTAGAATGCTATGCAACATTATTGCGGAATCCAGATGGGACGTATACTTTGAAGTCACTACACAATCATCCAGCAAACGACATGGTATTGCAGCAGTTAAAAATGAAGCAGGAGATGCTGCAAATGTGTCGAGAAACGGTCATGAAACCAAAAGAAATATTTGATACGGTATGCTGAGGGTAAGTCAACTTTCAAATCATCGAGCATAAAATATATATATTGTTGCACAAACAATATAAACACTTTGCGAATTACAATTTAATATATTGTTGCAACATTTGTTATAATGATAAAACTTTATAAGCAAAATATATAACATTGATTGATATTAAGAACAATCAATAACGTAATGCAATATATTTTAAGTTTTTAGCACATGTGTATTTACGTAATAATTTGTTATTTACGTTTGCTTTTATTTTTAAAGAAATCCAATAGCGGCTACAGGGTTGACTTTTTCTACTATGAGAAACTGTCTCGGTAAGAAACAATTATCAAAGGCCGGAAACGCCGAAAACTATTGTCGAACTTGATGCTGCATTAACGAATTACCAACCAGTTCAAAATATCTATAAGGGTACAGTAATACCAGATGACGGATATGTTGGAAATCATCCAAATTTGCGCCCTCTATTATTTGTCTCTATTACCTTCTTAACACTAAGGTGGCGCTGTACGCTATTCGGGGGCAATGATGCCAACTTAGTTTGTTATATTACTTTGTATTCTACTCTTTCTTTATAAAAGTTTCTATGGCGACTTTTACTGCCACTGCGTGTTATTATATACATTCGCTTTCTAATAAAGACTAACAAGTGTTCCTGGTTAATACAAGTCTGACATTACCGTTCGTTCCTCCAAGCCTTTTCCTAACATGATATAAAGCAATTATTTTTATAAGTGACGCTCTTCTACGTATGATGGAAGAAGCTACAGACATTTATATGGATGGGACATTTTCGGTGAATATTAATTGAGATATTATTTAACATATAGTAACTGACGACATAAAAAGACCACTGCAATGTTATCAAGTTTTTTACAATAAAAAGTTATAAAAAAATTTTAAAACACTTGAATTATATTTGCCGACCTGGAACTTTTTTAACTCAATTTTAATATTCAGAACAAATCTTTCTTTACCTAATTTGAATTTCTGTATTTTATAACTTTTTTGGAAACATTTGAATCTGTTTTAATCTTAAGCGTAAAATTTATGAAAACGATTAAAAAATAAAATATATTCAAATACATAAAGAAGAATCTATTCCGAATGTTAAAAGTGAATTAAGAAAGATTAATTGGGCAATAATATTTTAAGTTTATTCCATTTTTTATAAGGTAAGTGTTATTAGGTAAAGAATTTAATGTATTCCAGTGGTCTTTTATTCTGTCACTGCAAGCAGTAACATAAAAAATGAAGAATTATATGCTTTTCTATGCAGATGGTTCCCAGAGTGCCTTCCTTCGCGCAATTGTATACCATTCATGTACGGTATATAGATACGGTAAGTTGCAAATGGTACACATGTTTAATAGCTCTTTCTAATAGTCAATAAAATGTGCAAGTACTTAAACATCATTTCACAAATAAAGGTTACCGGTTATTTCATCATCGAATAAACTATGTGCTGTTTATCTAATAAATAAATTAAACTTATAAAAGCAAAAAGAATAAGAGAGTGAAGTTTATTGAAAAGGTGGAATACCCGGTCAAAATATGCCAATTTACTCTTCCTAAACAGTTCATGATCTGTTCATAGATTGTCCTCAATTGTCACACTTCAGAGGAATATGAATTTTTAAACATCTCACTTTATCACAGATTGAATTTGATATACCTACTTAATTTTCAGGGAATAGCTGTGCTGTTTGTATTATGTGAAAGTGTACAAAAAAAATTTGGCGAAGAGTGAAGGAGCTGAATCCAAATGCATTACAAAGAGTGCAATCAGTAATGAGTGATTACGAACGCGCAGCAATGACAATTGCAAGAGAGGTATTTCCGAATTCGTGATTAACTGGCTGCTTGTTCCATTTTAATCAGGTAGAATCTATGTTACATATTTCAAGGATAGCGCGCGCGTACGCGACGCGCACACACGCGCACGCACGCACGCACACACTCACACACACACATGCACAAGCTTTCTCATTTATTTGTCAGTTCACATTTCATATTACCTTTTATGTAGGTTGTATTAAGACGATGGAAGACTTTAGGGTTATCAGCAGTTCCAAAGAAAATTTTAAAACTTACAATGGCCTTACCGTTAGCTCCAGCTGACATGTTCGAACAAGGATTGCAAATCATACAGGAAGAAGCCGACGCGGTATCAGCGGAGCATCCAGTAGTATTACAATTTACTGTTTATTTAAGACGTACATGGCTACCTTTAAAAGATAAAGTTTCTGTTTATGGTACATCCATACGAACGAATAATTTGGTCGAGAGCTTCCATTTTGTGATTTTTCGAAAACTGGGTGGTATTCATCCAAACATTTGGATTTTTCTCCGTACGTATTGCTTATTGTTACTATTACTGATTTCGTTTATTGTCACCAAAATAACATTTTTACATAACTTTCAGATAATCTAAGAGATTTATTCACCGATCAAGAAATTAATATGGCGAGACTTTTACAAGGACATAGTGTAAGAAGGGTACGAACTCGATACAATAAAATTCGTGAAACACGCATTGCGGAGGCCCAGTTTTTTTACAATCGGGAAGGTATTCATATATATATATAT